GAGGAAAGCTTGGAGTTTTGGGAGTGAGGCCTGATGTGCTACAGAAAAGACTGAAATCACCAGCAACTTCTGAAATAATGATTGCTTTCCTTCCTTCTTTGGTCTTTCTTTAACACCCCCTAAACACACACACACACACACACACACCTCTCTTTTCCCAGACTGCAGAGCACTGGACTTGGTCTTTCTTCTTAGACAAGATTCTAGGAGAAGGAAATGACGAAGAAGGAGAAAGAGGAGGAGACAAAACAGTTGCCATCAGATTCCAACCCATGGTGACACCACAGATTTAGGATTCTGTTGTTTGGGACCTTTTGGACGCAGATTGCCAGGACTTGCTTCTGAGATTCCAGAAGAAAACAGGCTATCTTTATCCAGCTTTGCTTTAAAATACTAAAAGTGCCCCTCATTGGCCTTCAGGCAATTTCCTGTTGTTGCTAGATACCATTGACTCTGACTCACAGGGACCCTATGGGCAATAGAACAAAACCTTGTATGGTCGTGTCTTCCTCTGTGCTTAAACCCATTGCTGCGGTCATCGTGTCAATCCATCCCATTGAGGGTCCTTCCTTTCTTTCACTGAAAGATGACCCCCAGACGCAATCACCACATCAGCCTCTTGGCTGGGTCCTGCTGAGGTCAGTGTGTCTGTCCCTCTGCTCTTGAAAAGATCCTAACTACCACACAAGGTCAAGACGTCTCCAGGGAGACGAAACCTCCCACTTCAGAGTCCTATCACTTTCAACCATCTCTGCCTTAGTCAACCCCTTAGGGACTGGGGTGGGTGATTTTTCCTTCTGTTTCCCCAAAAGTTCCCAGTAGCATCCCTCTGTTACATCATGAACAGGAGGTCTGGTCTCCACTCAACACCTCATCTTTAGGACTTTTCTTGAGACCTCTCTCCTCTAGCACGTGTCCCCTGGAGTTGAGCCACAGCTGCTTTGCTTGTAGCCATCCTCTCTAACCCAATATGCACCCAGCTGACTGACCAGAGGGCAAGTCTCCCTTTTCTGTAGGAACCTGAAAGATCTCAAGTTAAGGGGAAGGGCAAAAGAACAAAGGCAGGAGTTGCCACATCTTGACCTCAAGCACATTCTCCCAAAATACCTTTGTTGTTTTTGTCATTGTTGTTGTTAGGTGCCATCAAGTCGAGTGTGACTCATCACTACCCTATGAACAAAAGATCAGAAAACAGTCCTGTCCTGCGCCATCCTCACACTTCCTGACACGCAAGAGTCCATTTCAACAGTCACCTTGTCAATCCACCTGGTTGAGGATCTTCTTCTCCTTCACCGACTCTCCACCCTTCCCAACATCATGTCCCTCTTCAAGGAATAGCACCTCCTAGCAATATGTCCAAAATATGAGAGCCGAAGCCTCATCATTCTTGCCTCTAAAGAGAACTCTGGCTGCACCCTTTCCAAGATGGGATGTTCAGTGTTCTTCTCTAACACCACAGGTCAAAGGCATCAATTATTTTTCCATCATCCTTATTCATTGTCCAGGTCTTGGATGCATAGCTAGTAATTGGGAAGACCATGACCTGAATCAGATGCACCTTATTCCTCAAACTGACATCACTACTCAATAATTTAGAAAGGTCTCTAACTTCAGATTTTTCCCATTGCAGTGTTGTTGTTGTTGTTGTTGTTATGTGCCATCAAGTCCTATGTACAACAGCCCTAAACTCTGCTCTGTCCTGTGCCAATCTCACTGTCTCTGATACACCCATTCCAATTACCTCAGTCACTGATTGATTAATCCACCTCATAGAGGGTCTTCCCCTTCTGTGCTGTCCCTCCACCCTCCCAAGCATGATGTCCCTCTCCAAAGGCCGGTCCCTCCTTACAACATGTTCAAAGTATGTTAGACAAAGCCTCAGAATCCTTGCCTCCAAGGAGCAGCCCGGTTTAACCCTTTCCAGGATGAATCTGTTTGTTTTCCTAGTAGTCCATGGTGCCCTCAATACTCTTCTCCAGCACCATAGCTCAAAGGCATCAATTTTCCTTCTATCCTCCCATTGCAATACGTCTCCTTATTTCCTGACTGCTCATACCAAGGGTGTTACCATTTTTAAGGTAGTATATATACTGATGAGGTTTTTGTGAAGATCATGATAAAAAAAATAAATAAAAATATCAAAACATTGGCTCTTAGTCCCTAGGAGAGAAACAGGGCCCAGACCTGCTCTGTGATCAGGCCTGCAACCCCTGTTAGGAAATGAATGTCTCCTGTTCTCGGCTTCCACATCTGTGAAATGGGGATGGTCAGCACAAAACTCACCCCTCATGACTGCTGCGCAAGTTGCAGGAACTGCAAAGGTTTCATCCAACAAGATATGATGCCTGGTGCTCCCTTGGTGTGTGCGGCTATTGTGCTGTCATTCCAACAGTGACCTGCTGCAGGTTGTCTATTCCTTGCCTTCTTTGATGTAAAGAGATTCTAATGTCCTCCCTCTTCAAGACGCTCCCTCTAATTTTCCCTCAAAGATGTCACTACTCTGAGCATGGATGTGAAATCAGTGATCTGATGGGAAGAAAAGGAGGCCAGGGGTGGGGAAGATCGGGGACCTGAAAATGATGTCTTCTTTTCTCAGTTGACCTGCATGCTGAGGCAGAGGCTGAGGAGGGAGTTGGCTTGGAGAGGATGAAAGAAAGGGGGCTCTTTCTTTCTAGAAAGCCAGGAGTTCTCCAGTGAGAAAATACAGGATGCATACAGGAAACACAGAACTCAGAGTCAGAGGGGCACTATAGAGCATCCCTAGATGGAGTGCCTGCTGAGGGACCCACAAATTCTTCTTCGCTGGCAAGTGGTACCCCCATTAGAGCTGTCTTCCTGTAAGAAGCCTCTGATCTCTTGCCCCACCTGTCTTGGCCCCAGGACACCTGCTCCTCCCAAAAGCTGGTTTCACTCTGCCCAGAGCTGGCATGTGCTGGGACTTGCCTCCCCTATTTGGACAGGGTTTCTGCTAAGCAAATTTAGTTTGGTCTTTATTGTATCTCCTCACTGAACAGCATGTCTTGGAACCCTCATAAGCATGAAGCAGACTGGGTTTAGGTGGAGAGCTTTGTGGAGGCAAATAAGACTCTCTCACCCCTCATAGACCTTTGAGACCTCTCCATTCATAGGAACAATGGAATGAAAGACATACTCACTATAGATACAGGCTCGAAGGCTGGCTCTGAAGGCCTTGCTGGACCGTTTTAGGCTATGCTGGAAGGCTTTCAGGGAGAGAAGGACCATGGACAGGAGCCTTAAAGAACATTTCAGCAGAGAGGAAAATATATTATCATTTCAGAAAAATGATACTGTGCAATGAGGCCTAAACTGGTAACCAGAAGTTTGATGTTCTAGCCTAGTTCCAGCCTTAAGTCTGTACTTGACTAGATGAAAAACCTTGGCTGGGTCATTTCCTCTGAACCTCCACGGCCTCATCTGTAAAGCGAGGGTGTTTAATGAAATGAAATTTTTGGGTTTTATCACCGTTTATTGTGTATATTGCATTTTCCTTCAACCATCTTAACGCATGCCGGGTAGCTTGTTACCAATGAAAGACATACCTGCTGGCCTGGGGTTTAGCCAGGCCCAGTGAGCATCATAAAGAGCCAGGAAGTGAAAACAGACTCTCCTCAAAGGAGATCTTAGGTAAGTAAGTACCGTGGATTCAGAACCATCCCATAGCTGACCTGGCTTTCAGAGAGAGCAAATCACACTGGAAGAGATTGTCCATATTTCTCCTACAGAACAGCTAGTGAATTTGAACCACACACCTTTGGGATTGCAGCAATTTCTTACCACTAGGTCACCAGAGCTTCCAAAGGAGACCTCAGATCTAGAGAATTTTCTCGCGAAAAAGCCTGGAGGTTAGAGTTGGGTGTGCACAGCCCACATAGCCTCGCTCCCACCAGACATCTGTCTCAGTTACAGCTGCCTGCTTGGCACCCACCACTGCATCTGGCACAGTACATGTTTATTGAATGAAGAGATGAGTGAATGCGACAGCAGAGGCTGTGATCAGCTTCTTGGCCAAAACAAAACAAAACGAAATCCTCCTGCTCCCAAGTCAGCAGATCCCTCAGGGCTTCAGCTCACTAATCTTGATCTCAGGATAAGAGGAGCAATGGCTGAAGAGCTGCATTTGCAGAAATCTCTCATTCTAGGACCTCTGGTTTCTGCAGCAATCGGTGGAAAGTGGGTCACAAAACAGCTCGGCAGCACACGGACCCTTGAGGAAAAGCTTGAATTCTGTGCCAACATGCATTTACTGAGTGCCGACTGTGTATCAAGTGTCGTCCCAAACCTCTGTTCATGTGGCCTCGGAGGATTGTACAGCGTGGGAATTTGGAGCTGTAAATCTCTGCTATGTTAACTAGTTCAGTGACGGTAGGCAAGTCGCTGCACCCTTCCGAGCCTTCCTTTTGAATCTCTGCAAAATGTATACAGATTCCCTTTGTCGAATTACGAGGACAGAATGAGCACGAGGAAACAGTGCTTCATAAATGCTTGTTTTTATTGTTTCTCTGGGCACACAAATCTGCACGTCTGCCCCAGGGCGCGCACACAGACGTGTTCACACTGCCACGTACACACAGATGTACCGAGACTTGCAAAGACTCCAGCCGCAGGCGGTTGCCACGCCTCAGATCCAGGGCCGATCGCCAGCCCAGTCCTACAGAGAAGCGGCGGGGTCCTCGGCTTGCCTCAAAGCTCTTCATGAATGAACTCAGGCCGCGAGAAGTTTATTTTTTTATGAATGGAAGCCGGAGCTTGAATGAAACTGGGAGCCAGCCCCTGCCTTCCGATTGGCCTCACTGACTGGGAAACTCCGCCCCCCGCCTCGGCAGAGAGAGGTTTCTGATTGGCGGGCGTGCCGACCCTGGGGTTTCATTCACAAAAGTCAATGAAACAAAGGGAACGGCGGGGGTGGGGGGGCCGCGTCCCGGGCCCAGAAAATGCACCAATCAGCGGCTCCCCCGGGCTCACAACTGTCTGCGGCGCCCGGAAAACTCGCTGGTGCGCGGGGACCCGGCCGGGCTGCCTCGCTCTGGCCTAAGCCCCGTGGCCCTCCGAGTGGTCCGGGGCGTGCTCGGGGGGTCCCCTCGGCTCCAGCACCGACCGCCGAGCCCCAGGTGAAGCTGTGGGGGGGAAGGGAGGGCACGTATCTGCGACCCCCTCCTCTCCTGCCACACTCGCCGCCCTCTCCCTGCCCCCGCCCACGCAGATCCCAGGGCTGGGGTTGGCAGCCGCTGAGGTTAGGGATGGAGGGGGCGCCCGACTTGGGGCGTGCGGATGGTGCGCGCCTGGGCCGCTCTACGCGCGCGCACACACATCTTCACACACACACACACACACACACACACACACACTCACTCACGTCTTATGTAACCGAGTAGGGCAGAGCGGGGCTGCAGGACGCTGCAGGAAGGCGCGCCCGGCTCCCAGAGCAGGTGGGACCTTGTTTGGAGAGAGGGGACTGGTAGCGGTGGCCGGCTGGGGGCGCGGAAACCTCTCCAGGGCCAGAGTGAGTCCTCGAAGTTTCGCCCTGCACCCGAGGACGGCCCCTCCCCGCCCCCGCCCGCTCTCCCGCCCGCAGCCCTCCCTCCGGGACGGTGTGCGAACGCAGCCCACCCCCTCCCCTCAGGTCTCTGCCCCCGCGCGGGGCCCGGGCCGCGGCCGGAGGGAGCGGCCGGATGGAGCGGAGGATGAAAGGCGGATACTTGGACCAGCAAGTGCCCTACACCTTCTGCAGCGTGAGCGCCGCGCGGCCTCCACGCCCGTCCCGCCCCCGCCCACGGCCCCGCGGGACCCCGACGGCCCGGCCCCTGGGTCACCCGGGGACCCCAGCCCCGCCCCGAGGCCGACGGCCTCTGGGTGACTCGGGGGCATTCTCCCCCTCCTCGCAGAAATCGCCCGGAAATGGGAGCCTGCGTGAAGTGCTGATGGTCCCGCAGGGGAAGCTCATGGACCCCAGCTCTCTGCCGCCCCCCGACTCCGAAGGTAAAAAAATGGGACAAGCCAACCGCAGTCCTCCAACCACCATACGCACACACCAGGGGGCCGATCCTGGAGTCCTCGCCCAATTCCCTAAAAGACCCGCGGTCCTGGAGATCCTGGTCTTTCTTCTCTGCCCCTAGCTCCACGGGGGGTCGCCGGGCTCGTTCGGGCTCCCTCGCACTCCATCCCCTCCACCTCACCTCCAATTCCATTATTCACCCCTCAGATCTCTTCCAGGATTTAAGTCACTTCCAGGAGACGTGGCTCTCTGAAGGTGAGTAGTTTTGCGACCTTTTCTATACTTGAGGCATAGGAGGCTCGGAGGCTCTGGCGATGCAGCCTAGCCCACTTCCTCTCTTCCTTTCCAATCCAAGGGGGTCTCCTCTCTTCTACTTCTCCAGTCTCCTCAGCACCCAGAGCAGACACTTATATTGATATTTATTTTCTCTGCCCTGAGCCAGGCTTGTGTAACTAGGCCTACGGATGAATCAAACCATTGTGTGGGGTATTTGCTTATTTGAATGGAACTTGGCCCCAAGCCCATTTTCCTGGTTGAAATTTTCATTTGCAAAGTTTGTTTGGCAGCCGGTTTGTGTTGGGGAGATGGCTGGGGGGGGGGGTGTACACAAAAGATGGGGAGAGGGAGTAATTAATTTGTAACCTATCTTCAGGAGTTGCCAAAACCTTGATTGCCACCATAAATTGGCTGACTTCTTTCCCATCCTCTGGAATGGAAAAATTTACTGCCAGAACTAAAAGAACAACAAAAATTTAAATAATTCTTTTATGCTGCACTTTGACTAAGAGACCTCAGGCTTGCTCCCCAGATAGTCTTGATTGCAGTTCTAGTGGTAACTATGCTTCTCTCATCCTTCGGAATACCTTCAACCGGGGCCAGTACCCTTTCTGCAGACTAGGAGCTGACAGGGCCTGGTCAAGGCCGGAAAGTGTGTCCTGGTGGTCTGCTGGTTGGATTCTTTGTTGTTTATTGGTGAGGCTTGATCGTGTTGCTCTGGGGTTGCAGAGGGAGGTGAAATGGTGGCTCAGATAGTCTGGGAGGAAAACATGACCACTCTCATGTTAGTATCTCTTTCTTTTAACACATGAAAAACCAAGAAACAAAAGCCTGAGGAACTCCTTTCCTGTCCCTTACACTCTTTCCATTCCTTTACCTGGGGAGCTCTCTTTGGAGATGTCTTTAAGTTCAAGTCCAGTTCCTCCTTCAAACCCTCTGTAGGAGGTTGAGGTAGAAGGAACAGGTAGATCTTTGGGGTGTGATTCAAGTCTGTCTTATTCACTGTCAGCATCCCTAAAAATATGTGGAAAGAACGGCTCTTTAGCATTAAAGAGGGTACTGAAGATGGTGTTTGTAGATGGAGCATTAATGGCTGACCTGCAGGAGGGACGTGGGGTGCCAGCCCTGCTCCTCACTCTGTGTTGCGGGAGGGTAGTGTCTAGCCCTGCCCACCCAGCTCACTCCTGAGGTTCCGGAGCTGGGCTGGAGCTAAGAACTCCTCCGAGGTGTCAGTTTCCATGTCCCTCAAAGACTTCCCTTCCTGATTTCTGTCTGGCTCACAGGACTGCGTCAGCTGCAGGTTCCTGCACTCTCCACAGGGCTGGGAGCTGAGGGGGCTCTGAGGTTGGCATTGTGGTAGCTGCTGGTTCATTTGTTTAGGGTTTGGGATGGGAGGGGCAAGTTCTCTTCTTTCTACCTTGGAAGCCCCACCCCTTGGAGGTAGGGGTCTGAAGAGTGTCTGTGTCTTCATATGTCAGCGTGGCAGTGGGGACGTTTGTGTGTGTTACATTCTGCTGCCCTAGGAGTCCTGTACATTTCAGTCCAGTGGGTGGGGAGGTGGAGGTGGGGATAACCAGGCGGAGGGGGGGCTGGGATCTCCTTGGTTCCCTCTCCTTCCTTCTGAGGGAGCTGCTCAGGTTCCCAGCTGGCGATGGATGGCCAGGCCTGAGGGGGGATGCTGAGGCCACTCGCTCCTTCTCGCTCTCTCTGCGGAGACAGATGCAGCTGCCGGGGCCATGTCCCCCTGCACCATCCCAGAACCACCCCAGCCTCCTCTCCTGCCTCTTCCCACCAGGTCAGTGACCCCTGCAGCCCAGGGGGAGCTTTGGGGTGGTAGGGAGGGTCTATAGATCCTTTGGACATTTGCCAATGGTGGGGCAAATCAGGTTGAATAGGGGCCGCAGCCCAACCTCCCGTCCGCAGCTTGGTTTCTCCCTGTTGCCCCAATTTGGAGAGAAGCCGTGGGTCCTTATAGTGTGGGCGATGCCATAAAGAGTACAGATGCTGCTCCAGCTGGGGCGAGAGATGTGGGTGCGGTTGGGTGTTTGAGGCCGATCCATTATGGGTCATTGGTGTGGAGCTTGGTAGTTGCAACTCAGACAGACATCTTTGACGTTGGGGTTTTCCTAGACAAAAGGGCGTGAAGTGAGGCTCGGTTTTGAAGTGTCTGGTTTTGGGGTGTCTGAGGGTCTGCTCAGATGCTGGAGAAAGATGAGGTTGCTGCAGGCAAACCCAGGCTCAGGCAGGCTGAGCCCGTGAAAGCCACTGCTTATGGTGGTCACCAATGTGCTGATTTGGGTTAAGGGTTTCTCTTTGGGCTTCTCAGGAGCCCTTGGGAACCCTCAGGAAAATGACTTTGTGGTGCATTTGATAGGAAAAGACATTGACTCTGGGCTAGGTACATGCTTTGTGTGAGGCTGAGTTCTGTAACCTGCTATCTGGATTCCCAGGGACTGGGTGAGTGGATGGGTTGCAGGGACCCTTGAGAACCTCTGCTAGCACATGGGTTGACTGTTGGGTGTGCCCCGTTGCACCTGGATACGTGCATTTTTCTAGGAAGAGAATACTCCATGTCTGGGATCCGATTTTCCAAGGGATGGGTCGGTGCTCCCTGAGAACCACTGGTCCCAAACCCTCCTCCATCTTCATCTTTACCATATTTGCGGGTCCAAAAGGAGACTGTGTACAAAGGGGGGACATCAAGGGTGTGTTTCTCCTGTGCTGTCGCATTTCCGCCAATAGAACAAGGGAATTAGGGTCCGGGCACAGCTTGTCTGTAGGGAAAGATGGGGTTAATCCCTTCCCCTCCTCTTTTCTAGCTACAATGCCTCCTTCTCTATTTTTCTGTCTCCTCCCTTTCCAGAATGCTCCTGGGGACAAATGTCTCCTTCCATAGGTAGAAAACTGGTTCCTTCCAGTACAGAGGCTGCCAGGATGGGGGCAGGGGTAAAGATGAGAGACAAGGCGTGGTGACACAATGGAGTAGAAGCTTCCAAGAACGCCTCCCCCACTCCCTCCACTTAGGGATACCTTGAGAAGCCCCCTTCTTAGTAACTGGGCCCCAAGAAGGAGAAGAGATAATGGGGAGTATCTGGCATCGCTGGTTAGTCTGTAGTGGGCTCAGCTGCTCGGCTGTTTGGGTACACCAGTTCTGGAGTCTGATTTGGGAGGCTTCTAAGCCCCTCCTGTTCTTCTACTGACCCACCTGTTTAAGGAATGTTCCCTGGAACTGACTGACTCTCTTGCTGTCTTTATCTCGGCATTGTGCTGGCTGCCATTCGTCATACCCCACCCCTCCTTACTCATCTGCCTCCTCTCCAAGCAGATCAGCCTCCCCTTCGTATGGAGCTGGGGATAGACCCTGGAACTCTGGCTCCAGCACGCAAAGCTCAGCCAAGTCAACAAATAAATAGAGTGGTGTACGATCCAGACCAAACATGGTAATTAAAAATGCTGCTGCTCTTCAGGAATGCACGGTGCTCCTGGTCCTATTTCCATGGTTGTTGGCAGTCTCCGAGCAGCTGAGGCCCTGGCCGGCCTGCTCCTTGGGGGAGGTCTGGTGTTTTGGGGAGGGGCTGAGTAGGGCCTGGGGTCATGCCACAGCCTATTTTGCCTCTACTGATTTCTCCCCAGCTCTAGAAAGAGGATGGTGTCACCACTTGGGATATGATTGGTGAGCTGGGGGTGGCTTCTTCTGGACACTTTTGGGCATAGAGGTTCTGGTCAACTTTGCAGATCTGAGCAGGGAGAAGAGGTGGGTCGACCTTTAAGGCCCTCTGCTCTTGGTGGTGGTGTGTTGTTTTTTTTTTTTATGTCATATGAACTGGGTGGTGACGCCAGCAGGAGCTGCCCCCAGCCCATTACCTCAGTGGAAACTGGCAGTTAATGAGGTCCCAGGAGGGGACCCAGAGTGCGTCAGCCTCCCTGAGGTTCTGAGTCTTCTCTGCCCTTGGGACACGACTTACCTAGGTAGCAGGGAGAAAAGGGCTGCTCACTGTGTTTCTATCACCCCTTTCCCCACCACTGCCACCTCTTTAGGGGTGCCATCTACTTGTTGGAACAGAGGGCATAAAAGGGATGAGCCCAGGCCTTGTATACCCAAGCAGCTGGATTCTTTAATCAGAACGGTGTGTGCCTTATTTGGGCTCCTAAAAAGATATGTGCTCATGGTGGGTTTCAGTTTGGTTTTGCCAGGAGGCTAGGATTAAACGTTTACTAATTTATTGGAGTAGTCTGGATTTTTTTTTTATGCTTACTTTTCATGAGTTCTTTAGCTGCTGAGGGTTCTTAGCTCTTAAACTCCCTGACCCTCGTCACTGTATCAAAAAAGTAAACTGTCCCAGATCGGTGGTCATCGAGTCAACCCAAGCCGAGGGTGACTGCATTCGGGCGGAGAAGACCTGTGCTTCTAGGGTTCTTGATGGCTGATTGCTACACGCTGATCGTGAGTCCTTTCTGCAAAGGAGGCTTGAATCTTGCTGTTAGCAGCTGAGCCTGTTCACCCTCCGTACCAGCCAGAGGCTCTCAGTTCTTTATAAACCTGTATTTAAAATACATTAGTAAAGAACCTTCCTACCAAGAACTTACTCCACCCTCCAGTGTCTGCTGTAAGTATATGTGCTTTTCCCAGAGAGAACTTGCCTCTCATGTTATCTAGTGTGTAGAGAGAAAGAAATCTACAATTAGGGAAGGATTGGGTTGGTTAAGGAATTTTTCTAGTTCCCAGGCCCACCACATTCTGGCTTTTGTGAGGCTGATGGTTAAAGGTGATTATAATGTTATTCTCATAGTTAACAAATAATGAATGCATCTTGTATCAACCCTGTTCCTGTTCCAAGCGCTAAGAAATCTAAGAGGAGTAAGGCAGGTAACCCTTGCCCTCAGGAGCTTGCTTCCCATGAACAAGTGGTGTTAATAAGATATGTTATATGTTAATAAGTTAAGACGTTTAGGGGAGGAACAAAACAATGGGACAGAGAGCCAGAAAGGAGCCAGAGAAGGTATCTGAGCTTGAGACCTTAGTGGCCAAAAAAAAAAAATCACAAAACACCAAGTAAAGGTCTTGGGAAGATGGACAGCAAAGGCAAGGAGGCGTGTTGAGGACAGGAAGGAGCCTGAAGAGGAACAGGGGAGGATGGAGAGGTGGGTGAGTCAGGCCAGATCATGTGAGGTCCTGCAGGCCAAAGGAGAGTCTAGATTTCATTCTAGATGCAGCAGGTGGCCACCAGAGTGCTGTAAGTGAGAGAGGGAAGTGATTTGATTGCTGTTTTTAAAAGATCACTTTGACAGCTATGTAGAGGGGAGAGTGGAAGTAGGAAGTTCCAATAAAAGGCTGTGGCTGGGATCCAAGTAAGACACCGTGGTGGCCTGGCCTAAAGTGGACATGGTAGAGATTAACGTGGAGTTATTTATATAGTTATTTATATGCAGAGGTGTTCTTCAGCCATGCGGGTGATTTATCTGTCAGTTTCCTCATTGACCACTCTGATAGCAGTCTCCTGGGAACCAAAGTCTGGACTCCTTGGGATCCAGGCTCCAAGGCCTCATCTTAGAGCCACTCTTTTCCTGAACTAACTGGGAAGGCCCAAACCCACTATTACCGAGTCCGTTCTGACCAGAAGGCATAATAGAACAGGAGGGGCCTTGCTCCATAGTTGCCAAGGCATAAGTCTTCAGGGGAGCAGACCACCTCACCTCCCTGAACCGCCAGACTTTGTGCCACCAAAAAGCCCCTGTCTTCCTCGACGGAAGAACTTCTTATAGATTCCTTTTCCTCTCTCCTGCTGCAGTCTATTTATTCTTGAGACAAGGACCAAAAAAAGGGCAAGTTGAGGGAGGTTCTAGGCTAGGTACTCACCTGAGAAACCCAACTTGTAGAGCCCAGGTAAGAATTAGAAATCCGACTGGGGATGCCTGGGCTGGGGGCCCTGGATGAGCTCTTATTCTATTTCAGTCTTCCAGCCTAATCCTCATGGCCAGCTCCACCCATCTTGGCACCCTGAGAGTGCCCTTCAGGCCTCCAGGCTTAGAAAGCCTCTCCTCCCCAAGCTGCACATCAAAGGGAAGAGAGGCTCTGTGACCTCTTTGTGTCCCCAGCTTCTTGCTGAGTTCTCTTCTCCCACAGTCTTCCTCTTTTCAGCCTTCCTCTCCACTCTGTTCCTATCCATACCCGCCCTCTCCCAGCTCCTGTGCATCTCAATCAAATTCCCCTTGGGAAGCTGTCTAAAATGCACGTCCCTGGGCCCAGCCCAGATTTAGAACCTGCCCATTTGGAGAATCCTTCCTTGGAACTCCTGCCCTCCTAGAAAGTGACTGCTGTGCATTTGGAGAAAAGTGGGAAGTTCTGAAGGGAGGAAATAAAGACAAAGCCATCTAGGAAAAGACTCTGGAATCTGCTTTGACAAGTTCTGGGAATATGTGAACACCCTGTGCCTTCTCACCGGGGTCTCAGGGGGGCCTAGAGATGGTAGGTGTTAGGACCCAGAGTGGAGATGCCTTTCCACTGTTGTCCCCTTTGGGGCTGGGGTGCTGATGCTAATCTGTGATAATAGTGTTTCTCTGTGGGCCAACTCCAGGCGCCCCAAACCCAGACTCACCTCTGACTTTTCTCTGCAGCTCAGGTACCAGACAGTGATGAACAGTTCGTTCCTGATTTCCATTCCGAAAACTGTGAGTCGAGGGCTTGGGGGTGGGGGGGGAGGGGCAGGGCGGGGAGAGGGTTTAGGAGAGTGGGAGTGGGAGCAGGAAATGAGTACCAGGGCTAGAGAATCACCGAGATCAGTTTGTTCTCTCCTAAAGAAAGAGGTCAGGAGAGCTCTGGTGACCTAGTGGCAAGGAGCTGCAACTACAATCCCAGAGGCCCACGGTTCGAATCTACCAGATGCTTTGCCGGGGAAGGAGGGACAATCCCCTCCTGTACCAGTCAGATCTGATTTGACGGTGCACTCACACAAAAATAAAAAATAAAAAAATTAAAAAATTTTTAAAAAAAGAAAGGTCAAAGGGCAGGGCTCCCCCTTCTTCATTTGGACTCAGAGACCAAGGTAGCAACTAGGTGACTGAAGACCTTGGTTCAAATCCCAGGCTTGCCCCACCCTGGCTGTGTGACCTCTTCCAATGTTCCGTTGCTTTCGGGCAAGTAGGGGCCATTTTGCCCCTCAGGAGACACATGACAATGTCTATAACCTTCTTGATTGTCACAACTCAGGGTGGGAGGGTGCTGCTACTAGCCTCTAATTGAGTAGAGGCCAAGGGTGCTGCTAAAAATACCCTACAACGCTTAAGACAGCCTCCCACAAGAAAAAAATATTCTGGCCCAAATGTCAACAGTGCCACTGTTAAGAAACCCTGCTTTAATGTAAAGTGCTCTGCCCTCGGATGCCTTCACCAGGGCGATGAAGCAGGGATGGCATCCTCGCAGACAGCACTCAACCAGCTGAGAACCAACTTCTGGCTGCTCAGCCTGATGGCTGGACATGGAGGGCCCAGCAGGGGCTACGGGAAAAGCTAATGTTCTTCACAGATAATTAGGCGCATGTGTATAATGCTATTCAGCTGACATTCAAGTGGGCGAATAGCCAGCCTTAACCAGAAAAAGAAAGATCCTTTAAAGCCCCAAACAAGAAAATATTTCCCTCTTTTGGAATTTTCCAGGGCCCTCTGGAAAGCCACAGGTCTCAGGTTAGCGGTGTCACTTATAAGGCAAAGCTTTCTAGGGTTTAGGATTATATTACACACTGAAAACTGGACTCTAGACAGTTTTGGGGTGTTTTTTTTTAAATAATTTTAATGAGCATTTACAGAGATTTTGGATTTCCATTCATTCATTGCTGCACTTCTCTCCCCAACCAGCCCTCCTCCTCCCCATCACTCCTCTCTTTCAAAAGAAAAAGAAACACTCCCTCCCTGGGACACACTCCTCCCACACCCCTCCCGCCGCCCCAAGTACATTCCACTATGCAACCTTAATTGTGGACTCTTGTGATTCTAGACAGTTTTTTTGGTTAACATTGAACATTAGGCTGTTATAGAAAGCTAATTTGAAGGTAAATAGCCAGGCTCTTTTCACAAGTGTGACTGCAGACATTAGGGAGTTCCTAGGTGGGATGAATGGTTAGTATATTCACCCAGCTGCTAACTGAAAGGTTGCAGGTTTGAGTCCACCTAGAGTCACCCTAGAAGAAAGCCTTGGAGATTGACTGCCAAACATTAACCCATTGAAAACCCCGTGGAGTGCAGTTCTGCTCTGACATGCATTAGAGTCATCTTGACTTGGAGTCATTTCAATGGCAACTGGGATAGGTCTTAGAAAACCGAGACCCACAGAGAGGGACTAAGCTGGGCCAGTCACCCAGCTGATCCTCAAAGAGCAGAAGTGCTGGGCATCCCTGCCTGCCTGTTCTGGGACTCTCTGACCTTGTTCTGCCACCCTCGCTCCCACCTCCATCACAGTAGCTTTCCACAGTCCCACCACCAGGATCAAGAAGGAGCCCCAGAGTCCCCGCACAGACCCGGCCCTGTCCTGCAGCAGGAAGCCGCCACTCCCCTACCACCATGGCGAGCAGTGCCTTTACTCCAGGTGAGCCCACCGGGGCCCTGGGGCTAGGAGGGTGGGAGGAACCCCTGTGCTTTAACAGCGGCTAAGTGCTTGGAGGAAAACAAGAGGGTTTCCTGGTGACCTTAGTGAATAGGGAGTTGTGCTCTCAAACTCAAAGGCAGTCAGCTCGAATCCACTAGCTGCTCCAAGGAGGAAAGATGAGGAGTCTCTGATAGTGCAATTTATAGCCTCTGTAAACCTGCTGGAGGGCCCGCTGTGGCTTAGTAGCTATGAGTGTGTGCGTGCGTGCTGTCAGAGGGAGCCACCCAGCTGAGGGCTTCCTGTGAGTAGTCTAGGTGGACCACACAGCAGGGGTGTGGGGAAGGCCAGGGCAGAGTCTATTGCCACCACTCTGGTGGGCCTGTCGTCCTGCCCTCATCCCGTCCCTCTGGACTGGAGAAAGGTGTTGTCAAGAGAAAGCCCAGTTTCTGTACTGATGGAAGGAAAAATTGTCCACTTAGGGTGGAGTTTGTGGCTTACCCTGCTTGCTCTTTTCCCAATCTTTTCTACTCCTTCTCCTGGGGTCCCTGGGACTCCCCTTCCCCTGTGGACAGAAGGCTCAAAGATGCTTGACCAACTTCTGTGTCCCCTCACCATATCTCCCTCCCGCCCCGACTCCAGTGCCTATGATCCCTCCAGACAAATTGCCATCAAGTCTCCCGCCCCTGGTGCCCCTGGACAGCCGCCCCTGCAGCCCTTTCCCCGGGCAGAACAGAGTTTCCTAAGGTCCTCAGCCACCTCCCAGCCCCACCCTGCCGGCCATGGGTACCTCGGGGAGCACAGGTAAGGACACTTTATGCACCTATGGGCCCAGATCTCCCCAGGTGGCCTCAGTTCCTGGATGGGTGCTGTCCACCTGCCCACAGATATGGGGGTGGGAGAAGAGGAAGGATCCTGGCCACCCTCCACCCACCACCCCTCCCCTCCCCACATACTGCCCCTCCAGAGCCCACAATGCAAGCTCTGGAAGTGGCAAAAGGGAGGAGGGGCTCATTCGAGTTTCTCTTTCCTTCTGTCTCCATCCATCCACATCCAGCTCCATCTTCCAGCAGTCCTCAGACATATGTCACTCCTTCACCTCCTCTCAGGGTGGGGGCCGGGAACCCCTCCCCACCTCCTACCAGCACCAGCTGTCGGAGCCCTGCCTGCCCTACCCCCAGCAGAGCTTCAAGCAGGAATACCATGACCCCCTGTACGAACAGGCGGGCCAGCCAGCAGTGGGCCCCGGTGGGGTCAATGGGCACAGGTACCCAGGGGCGGGGGTGGTGATCAAACAGGAGCAGATGGACTTCGCCTATGACTCAGGTAAGAGACTCTCCAGGGAGGGGAGGTGGGGGGGTATTTTGTGGGGGGTAGCCTTGGTAGGGGTGTCATGTGATCCAGTGACTACTTCCATTGAAGCAGAATGTCTGTCCACAAGGTTTTACCCTCCTATCCAATTAGTAACCGTAGGTTACATCCAGCCCATCCACTCACTCTCTCATTGAGTCACCTGAATTATCAATTTTCAATCCTCCAAATTTTACTCAGAGAAGAAAAGAGAGGGAAAAAAAAAAACACAAACCCCAGTGGATATAAAGACTGGCCCTCAGGTAGCCCCTGACTTAGAGGAAAGTGAAAGCATTGGTTTGTCTTTAACAGGCATTTGAGGCTATGTCCATAGTTACAGAAAGGCTTCAGGCCTTTTGTTCATCGGGTTGCTATGAGTCGTGCTCGACTCCCCAGCAATCAACAACAACAGCAATTATCTACTGAGACCAAAGTGCTGTGCCGGAGCCTGGGCCATCAGGAACTGGTAGATACAAAGATGAATAGGATGTGTTCTTGGTCCCTTTCCCCACAGAAGCTTAAAAATACAGAAAGGTTTGATGAAAAGAAATGTGTGTGTGAAGCCAGCCAGGCTCCAAGTTCCTGCTAGGAATGCAGGATTAATAGGTGGTTTCCACCTCCTGTCTGCGCCTCTGGGTTGGTGGGTGATCTGGTATATGAGTGAGTGTCCTTTGGCCAGAGCTGGGGACCAAAGGATGGGTGGGTGGCAGGCTGGAGAAAGGGACTACTTTAAATGCTAGTTCCCCTGACTGTCAGCGGGAGGCAGTCACACTCAGCCATGTTCTTTAAAAATAAAAAGTAGATTTATTAGAAAGTTACATCCCAAAGGGATGGACCTCCCTCCTTTCAAGGAGGAAGAGTGGCCTCAGCCATGTTCTTAAATAGCTCTGCTTTCAAAGCCCCAAGCATAAAGATATTCTTTCTTCAAAAATCCTGGCTTCAGGGTTACGGACACTTAACCTGAATTTGTCTAAAAATCTTCATTCAGAATATAAACCCAAAGGTCAGAGTAGGTTCTGAGTTGGCTGGAGTTTGAAAATCTCCCTTTTCCTGGTACCCACAGGTTTTAGGGGGGCTGCGGGAAGCAGGGAAGGGATGGACAGCAAACCTCTAAATCGAAAAAACTAGGAAGGGTGCCCCTCTCCTCACCTCAAGCCCACAAAACTGCCAGGCTGGCAGCGAGATGCCGAGCGAGGGAGGGAGGGAGACGCTCTTGCCACTGACCTTCAAAGGCTGTAGACCCGAAGGGATCGAGTTACATGCCCTTGAACTCCAGTCCCTCCCCCTCCGCTTCCTCTGAATGGAGTCAGGAATTCCATTCACAAAATGGAGGCATGAATGAGCCCACCCTCCCTCTTCCCTGGAGGTGTCAGGTTTCAGCGTCTCATTCATAGGTGGGAGTGGAGGGGGGAGGGCTCACACTGCAGCCTCTGGGAGGAGGTGGAGGGAGGTTTCAAGTCTATGGGGTGGAATGCGCTCTGCTGTCAGACCTAAAAAACGCAGCCTGGTGCCCACTCTCTTCCTCCGAAGCGTGCAGGTGCTTGCTCTTAGTCTGACTCTCTCACACATACACACACTCACATACATGCTTGGAACCTGACCTGCTGACCGGACGCTTGTCCATTCTGAGGGAGTCTCAGGCATGGGACACCGAACCCTTCCCCGGAGGTTCATCCCTCACGCCCTTCCTCCCCCTGCACTCAGGAAACAGCTGTTCCCTGGCATGCCGGGCCTGGTGGGACAGCTTTGCCAGCCCCAGCTGCTGCCACCCCTGCCCTCTGCCCAGGGGACTCAAGCCTCCGTTCCCTCGGGGTGAACTTCCCCTGGGATTTAGTGGTGGGCAGGCAGCTGGGGAAAGAGAAGTCTTGGGGACACAGACTGACAGGAAGAACTCGCACGGGCTGTGTGACCAGCCATCTATAACTTGGCTTCTCTTACCTCACTAGATGTCCCTGGGTGTGCGTCAATGTACCTTCACACAGAGGGCTTCTCTGGGCCCTCTGCAAGTGATGGGGTCATGGGTAAGGCACCCCCTTTTCCCTGTCAAGCCCAACGAGATGAGGGAGGGAGGTCTGCTGGGCAGGAGATGTCCTTCTGGACTCTAGGTCTCTTGTCAGTCACCCAGATCTGAGTGACCACCGCCAACTTCCTCCCCAAGGCTACGGCTATGAGAAACCTCTGCGACCATTCCCAGATGATGTCTGTGTCGTCCCTGAGAAATTTGAAGGTCAGAGATGGAGCCTGGGAGGGTCAGGGTCTCATCTTTGCCCTCTCTGTCCCCCTAGAAATTACATTTCATCATTAGAAGAGGCACATGGGCAAAGACCTACAGATGGAGAAGGGGTTCCCAGCAGGAAGAAGGGATCGATAGATGGTTTCCGGAAGGCCCAGGGCCCACAGCTCCTATTTCCTGTGTTCCCCAGGAGACATCAAGCAGGAAGGGATTGGTGCATTCCGAGAGGGGCCCCCTTACCAGCGCCGGGGCGCCTTGCAGCTGTGGCAGTTTCTGGTGGCCCTACTGGATGACCCAACAAACGCCCACTTCATTGCCTGGACCGGCAGGGGAATGGAGTTCAAGCTAATTGAGCCTGAGGAGGTGGGAGTCCTATGGCCCTGCCTCTCCTCACCAATAGCTGGATGAGAGGAGACCACCCGGGCCTGGCGAGGGGCGAACGTGGGCAATGATGGCACGTGACTTCTGTCCGTGTGAATTCTTGCCCCGTGTTGGTCTGGTAGGCTGATGCCTAGTTACAAGACTATGATAATATTTTGCACCAAGATCAAGTGCTGTTTCTGATCAACCTTCGTTTTTCCTCTATTAAGCTAGCATTGAGCTCTGGTAGCCTGGTCCATTGAGTGGTACTACTAACCCAAAGCCCATCCTTGTCTAGTGGTTCAAATCCATCAGCCTCTTCAAGGAAGAAAGATGGACAATCTCCTCGCCTCACAACCCAAACTCTGTCTTCCATCCTCAGGTCGCCAGGCTCTGGGGCATCCAGAAGAACCGGCCAGCCATGAATTATGACAAGCTGAGCCGCTCGCTACGATATTATTATGAGAAAGGCATCATGCAGAAGGTCAGGGCTGAGTGTCCAGGGCCAACGGGGTGGGAGAAGGTGCTGGTGGAGAGGGTGCGGGGAGGAGAACATCTCTCAGCTAGTTTGTAGGAGTAAATAGTGAACTGGTCTGAGGGGATGAGGAATTGTGACCAACCCCAGAGTTCCCTTGACCCCCCAAAAAGGCAAAAAAGGACCAGAGCATGAGGGATTGAGGTCAGAGGTCCCCGAACAGAACTATGAAGAGGGTTGGCTCTTGGAACCAGCGAGGGAATCTTCCACCTGGACAGAAGAGCTATATTCTCATGGATTCAAGTGTATCAGAGATGAAGATGCCACACGATAGGACAGGATTCAAGTCTGTTATTCATAGAGTAGACGTGACTCATACTTGACTTGATGGCAACTAACAATACTTGGGGGGGGTGGGGATGAGAGAACACCTAGGCTGAGCCTTTACCTCTTTCACAGGTGGCCGGTGAGCGTTATGTGTACAAGTTTGTGTGCGAACCTGAGGCCCTCTTCTCTCTGGCCTTCCCGGACAATCAGCGTCCAGCTCTCAAGGCCGAGTTTGAGCGGCCAGTCAGTGAGGAGGACACAGTCCCCTTGTCCCACTTGGATGAGAGCCCCGCCTACCTCCCTGAGCTGACTGGCCCTGCCCAGCCCTTTGGCCCCAAAGGTGGCTACTCTTACTAGCCCCAGCAGCTTGGCCCCTGGCGCTAGAGGGTGCTGCCCTGTGTACACGTGGGGTTGGGGAAACCATCCCTCAACCTACAGATGTCTCTGGGACAGAACCCACTGTCCCGTCGGCTGATCTCTGAGCTGCTCACCAGTCAAGGATCGAGAGAGGATTGTGGAGAAAGGCCATGTCTAGAGGAGGAAATCTCAGACACCCCCCTGGGGGTTCCCCTCTGCCCGTGGGGAGTTCAGCTTGGCCTCTTCAGCGCCTTGCTTTGAGGCCCAAGCCTTACTCCTCTTCCTCCACTACAGAGAATAAGAGCATCTTCTGTCCTGGGAACAGAGGAGGCTCCCCCAGCTTATTCTGGCTGGGGAGTGGCGCATAGAACTTCCCAATTTCCCTAAGTAGGGAGACCCTTGGACCCCATAAACCACCCAGCTGTGGCCCTGGAGGGTTCCAGTTGTCAGTTTTTGGTGCTGTGTCCCCAGAGGCAGGGGGAGGCTAGAGAAAACAAAATGGGGTGGTGAAAGGGGTACTGGGTAGAGGCTGGGTCCCTGCTCCAAGGAGCTCTCAGCCTCAGCCTGGAATCCACCGCGTCGACCTGAATAAAGGCCCCCTGCTTCTCCTGTTAAATTTCATTGTTCTTTGCTGTTATGGGAGAGAGGCCTTGAGGGAGAAAGAACTCTGGCATTGTGTGCCCAGGCCTCAAGCCTCGATACTTACCCAATGACTTCTTTCAAAAATGGGTCCAGCCATACCTGCCCCTTTGACAATCTCAAGATCATCATGTGAGGATCCAGAAATAATCGACAAAGTGTACTTTGTACTCTGCCCTGGGGCCCTGGGCCGCCTTCTATAGCCACCTCCCAGCCCTGGCAGAGAGGGGCCCTCTGAGCTCAAGGCTTATGTTGGGGGTTCACACTGGCAAACAAGCAGGGTCTCAGCCCGAGTTAAACACAAACATGCTTCTTCACACTTGCTCCCTGACCACATGGGAGCAACATACACCCCAACAGTCGGTGTCTGCCAGTTTATGGTCCTCAGTGGCGTTGGGGCAGAGCTTATATGAAGTGTTGTCTTTACTGGGTCTGGAGGGGTGGGTGCTGCAGGAGAAAAATACCCAAACAAGAGGGTGTGGGAGATCAGAGCAGACCCCACGTTCTGGCAGGGGAGAAAGGGGACTACCTTCTTGGGAAGGACTGGGGGGGAATATGCGACCACATCTGGGAGCACAGGAGCCCTGGGAGTTGGTGGGGAACAGGAAGGCCTAAGGAGGTGGTAACGGGATCTGCCAGTAGACTGGCTGGGAAGAGAAGCTGAGGGGAAGAGGGGCAGAATGGGCAGCCTCTTGGAGCGAGGTGAAAGAATCCTGGTGGTGTGGTTAGGTATTTCACTGCTAACTGAAAGGTCGGCTGTTCAAATCCACCAGCTGCTCCACAGGAAAAAGATTTACAGCTGCCTTAAAACTCGGTGCAAAAAAAAAATTGGTTTTCATTCAAGCATTCATATACATTTTATTTTATGTTATTAATAAAAATTGTTAGATTTTGAAAAACAACAACAAAAAAAAAAAACACCTCGGTGCAGGGTCACTCTGAGTCACTAGAGAGTTTGGTTTGGGGAAGAGAAGTGGACTCGAGTAATCAAAGGGGCTAAACCAGAACCAAGCTAGGCGGAGGCTGAGTTCATGCCCGAGCCGCTCAGGAGGCAGCCAGCCCTCATGCGAAGGGCTGCTGAAAATACATCAATTTACAACTTAGAAGAAGAAACACAAAAACCATTTTAAAAGAGATGTTGTGTTTTTGTATTTTTAGAAAAATACGTAATGCAAGGTAAGGCCGGACTTTCTTGGTGCAGGGAGAGCAGAAGCATCAAGTTGGCCTGGGGCACGGTCATGTTTTGACGGTCCCTCGTGCCAACCCGGTGGTTTCCTGGTGGATTGCTGGAGCTGTGTCATGTGGAGCACTGTCAGAGGGTTCCAACAGAGAGCTGTGAGGTGGGACTTGCTCATGGCCAGGGCTGGGCTCAGTACGTGTCTCAGAGCCTGTGGTGGGCTCGTTCATTGCCTTGACACTGCTTCCTTTAGTTGATGTCTTAGCTGTGCAGGCCCGCAGGGAACTTTCCACACAGTCCCATAAACAAGCATAGACTCAGCACTCGGGAAGGGCAGGGAACTCCGGAGCTCAGGATCCTGCAGGGTTGGGGCTAACAAAGTGCTTCAATGGCATGAAGATGCCAGTGCTGGCGGGACGGCCTGGCCAAGTCCTCCTCTGCCCCTGTGCAGGCTCAGCTTTCCTATTTCTGACAGACAATACTAACGGTTCCACACTGTCAACAGCAGAGCTGATGCCAAGTCCTGAAGGACGTTCAAGGAATACCCACAGGACTGGGGTCCTTCTTTCTGTCCTCTTACTACACCAAGATGCCCAGTCCTGCTGCCTCTCCCACTTGGTCTATCACATCCCTTCTCAACTTTAGTGTAAACCCCAAATCATCAGAGGAGCGAGCGATTCCAGTTGTACCCACACCATCAGTGGTCACACAGGCTGCCTCACTCAGTTCACTGCTGAACTAGGGAGACTTCGGCTAGAATTAGGCTACCCGTAAGTCTTTGATTGCTGGGAGGGCCAGCACGCTCGGACACAGGCGCTCACTCAGCTGATTAAGGGCAGGGCTCGGCAGTCAGCAGCCTTCCGGCCTATATCCTCTGTCAGCTTCTCCTTGGGTTGTTATTTTCAGGGTGGTTTTATTTGCTGTGCAGTGACGGCCTACATTGTCTTACAGAACACTGCAAAGGCTCTTAGGGTCTTAATGTCATTCCAGAATTCAGTAGTGAGGAGAGGGGAGGGTGGAGCGGGCAGTGCCTTAAGGGGATGTGCCCAAACTCAGGGACCTTCCCAGGTGCGGGCAGCCCTCTCAATGCTTCTTCTGGTCAAGAGTCTCCCCAGGAGCTGAGGGGGGCGTGAACATGTGCATTCTCTCCAGATGTTCCAGGAGAGAGGAGACCAAAGCTCAGATGCGGGCAGCAAGACCGGCCCGAGAGGTGTTATGTGGATTTTAGGTTTAGGATGGGAGGGGAAGCTCTGCCCATAAAACTCCTTTGTTGAAATCCACTGAGGACTACAGGGGCAGTTGGGGAATAAATAAAAGCTCCGCCATCACTTTGCATGTTTCAAGAGGAAATGGGACACAATGCCCATTGTGAGCGTGGGGAAGGGGAGAGGGGCAGGGGTGGAGGGCAGAACCTGTGCTCTACAAGCAACATCTGTAACCACTCAGGCCCAGACGAAGTGCTCCGTGGAGTGGATGTGGTTAATCACAGCGAGCGTCAGTCGGCAGGGGCCAGCACCAGTGCTGAAATAAAAATGGAGGTGCCCGCTGGGTGTCACGTCAGAAACCAGAGAAGCCAGGAGCTCTGGTTTTGGGAGACTTTCCAGCATGTGTACCAGAGTCACAGATACTAAATCTCCCTCACCCTGAGCCCAGGCCAATATCCTAACCTTTCAGCTCAAAGAAACAGCCACAGAAAGTCATTTTTGTTTCTTTAAGAAAAATAAATATTTCTAGGTCAAGACAAAGTACCGGGTGAGCTGAGAAGAAGCGGGGGCTGACACTTTGGATGAGCTTTGTGCTGCCCCCTCCAGAGAGGAGGAACAGGGGAGCAGGACCTCCCCGAGTCTGTCTTGTCAGATACTCGCTGCCTCTCCTTTCCCACTCAGGAGTCAATGCTGTGAACTCTCAACTGGCCCCAGGGAGTTGGCCTGGTGGGAGCCAGAGGCTGCGGCCAAGGCCAGACTTCTATCCCTGTTTCTATGGAACCAACAGGGAGGAAAGGAGTCAAGTCTAGGAAAGTCCAGTTAGGATGTTCAGTCCAGGACAGCTGTCTTCTCAGGGCCAGCGTACTACAAGTACGCCGAAGTCCGAGCCTAAGCCACTGATGCAGAAGAGGTCGACAGGGAGGAGATCCGCCATTCAGCGTCGCCGGAAGGCACGGGATATTCTCCAGGCGTTGGGCTCCTCATAGCGGTTGTACAGGGGCTCCAGACGCTGCTGTTTCTTCTGCTTGCTTAGCTTGGTCGGGTCAGAAACCTTGAAGAAGGCGGGGGCAAACTCCACAAGCCACCGGGGACCGATGGTGGTGACCTCACGCATGTACTCCTTCGTGGTCAGCACCAGCTCGTGGTACACCACCCTGCGGGGAGAGACAAGCTGGGGCTCAAGCCTCCGACACAGGACCCACCCCAGAGCGAGCCTGGTCTGCAGCGGGCCTCTGCTGTGCCTGCATTTCACCCTTCTAAGGAGACTGCAGGCTATGACAGCCAGACCCCTACACTGACAAGCTCACAGGATTCTGCCTATGAGAAAGCTGTCAGGATCTCAGTTTCCTGCTCTGTAAAATGGGAGATTATTTTTTCAAATTGTCTCCGCAGCCCTAGGCTCCTAAAGAGGAGCCACAGACTTTACAGAGAGATGGAGAAGGCCACCAGGCGAGGGTCTTCATCTCCCAGTCTTTTTCAACCACAACAGCATAGCTGCTTTATAGCAGTGTTCTATGTTCTGTATTTTTAAATTAGTTTGAGAAACACCTCACTGGTGATCCTTCTAGCTCTAGCCCCTATGATTTTATTTCCTCTTGTAAGGACTGACCTTGTACCTAATTGAGGAATGTACTAGAATTATAAGCAATGTTGGAACAGAAGGGCTGCAGGGCAGGGGAGGGAAATGAAGACACAAAGCACCAAGGCGTTTCTCTAGAAGGCCCGAGGGTCTCAAGAGGTTAGCTGTGCTAAGTGAAGAGACGGGAACTTCCCAAGACAGCAGGTCCCCTGGCCTGGGTCAACACCAGAATCCTTCTGCACATAAAGTCGCGCCTGCCCACCTACCATTCAGGCTGTCTGTTGAAGAGTGCACTGGAAGGGTGGATGTAGACCACCTGCTGGTCAATCAGCGTCCGGTAACCCTCCTGTGGGTCTTTCTTGGCAGCATTCCTGAAGAACCCACTGCAGATGGCCTTCTGCACGCGGACTGTGGACTTGCCACATGAGACCACATCCAGCTTGTGTCTGGTGGAAGAGTAAATCAGTCAAGAAAAGAAAAGGTGCAAGACTCGTCTGCTTTCAGAGTTTCTATCTTCCAGAAAGATGGGGCTCAACAGCCTCATGTTGGGGGACGCAGGAGTAGTCACCAAGACCTTTCTATCTATAAAGGCAGCACCACAGAACGGGCGGGATGAGGCAGGCAGAGCTAGAAAGCAGGCAAGAGCTGAACTCCATAATAATGACACTACAGACGTTTATAAACCAAGAGGATTTTTTAACAACCCATAAATCACCTTCCTCTTAGAAACTTTCTGAAGTGACTCTCAGCCCTGTACTGGCCTGGAAGGAAGGAGAAGGGCATCTAGCAAGGGCAGAGTAGCTGGCAGAGCGGTCAGGCGAGGAGCAAGAGCACAGGGGCTGGAGCTGGATGGCAGGGCACAGACCCAGGGACTAATGCGGGCACACTGGAGATTCACCCCAACACAGGGCCAGTCCCCTCTCACCTGTCCATGATACCCAACATCTGCTTGCGGATGTCCTGGGCCCGGCGCAGGGAACGAGCCTGGATGAAGTTCTCATAGCACCATGGATTGGAGAA